AAATCTTAAAAGACTTTTTTTTTTCCTTCTTACTGTTAAAATAACATTATTTAAGAAATCAACCTAATGCCTCTCCTTACCTTCCACTGTTTTAGGATAAAGAGAAAAACATGAGGTTTGTGGTATCCACTGTTAAACAGAACCGGACAATATGAAAACTATGTTCTCATGTTAAGACATTCTGTCAGATGAGATGTCCAAAGTGTTTCTCCAATTTTTGTGTGACCTGCAGAATTGGAGATGGCTTAGCCTCCCTATAACTTCAAGTTTGCTTTACAAAGCTTTGAAAAGTAAAACATAATTTCATCTTCAGATAGAATAAAAAATTAATTTGAGTAGCAAAATAAGTAACTGCTTTTAAATGTACAGTAGTGTGTCCATTCTAAAAACAAAACCTAAACCTATGTTAGGAAAACTTTTCAAATAATGCTTTTTATTGAATTCTCCAGTAGTAGTTGAAATAAAAATCTACTCTAACTTCTATGAAAAGATCTATTTATACCACTTAATTTCCTCTTCTCTGATTCTACATTTCACTTTGCAACCTGCAGACCTTCATGGTTTCCCAAATGGGGAACCCAGTCCCCTCATAAATATTTCTGAGAAGTTGCTCAGAGTGGGACACACAAAAATATGGCTCCTCTGGCAAGTATTGCTGTCACCGTTTGACTACGTTTTAATACTGTTACTCCAATTCACGTAACCAATCTTCCATGAGGATGGTAGGATGATCCTGGTTAGCTAGCTTCTGATGAGGACTTCAGGGTGACCAAACCCTGGAATAAAAGGTGATCAACTCTAGGGTAAAAGGGAGGAAAAAATTCCTTCACAGCTACAAATCTTCACAAGCCTTCCAACAGTCATGGGGAAGGAACAATCCGGGGAAGTGAGTGGGGGGCAGGGAAGGTACACAAGAGTACAGCCAAAGGGAATACTGCAAAATGCTTCTCCAGCCTTGTCAGAAAAACTTCCTGCCATGCCAGGAACTGGATGCATCTGTGCCTATTTTCCAGGAAAGGGCCCATATTGGTGCTTTGCTATCCCAAATTTCCTAAGCATGAAGATTAGTTAGTGGGGGAAGCAGGACTATGGTTTCTACAATCTGGTCAGGTTAAGTGGTCCCACTGGCCTTCCCAGGGCACTCCCCGCTCTCAATTCACGGAGAAGCCCCCCCGCCCCCCGCCACGCAAGCTCAGAGAATCCATTCTCTTTGCCTGGAATGGTGAGCTGGAAGTTAAGGGGTCCACTTCCTGGCTTTGAAGAGAAAACGCCCAGGAAGTTGCAGATGTTTCTAGGAACCGTTCCATTCTAGAGCCCTATTAACCTGTCTCTCCTAAGGAATCTCTGAATCTCCTCTCCTGATTTGGTAAGCACTAAACTATGAAGGTTTTCTCTCATTTCCCCCCTCCTCAGGTCTGTAAACTGACTTTTTGTCTATACCCACATTACCTCCTTCACTACTCACTCCAAAACTTTGCTCTTTTGGAGTGACGTGTTCTGTCAAATAGATTAAAATAAAGTACATTATCTGTTTACAGGGAATACAGAATAGAACCGGGTCAGAGGTACAAAACATGGACACTGACACTGTGGTCATACAAAATATATATAGAAGTACCCAGCATGAACAGTTTTTGCCTTCTTTTTAGCATTTCCCCACATTTTTTTTTTCTTCTGTGGATCCTCTGGAATTAAGATCGAGCTTCCTCTGCAGTGTTTCTGAAATTCATTACATGATTGGAACATACTGACAGGTTCATTTTCTGTCCAAAGCAATGAGTGGTATACATGAAAGTTTTCCTCACATACAATATTAATAAAGTTTATTTACAGTGTAAGCTTTCTGATGCTAAGGGCTGAGACAGGATGGAAGGCTTTGCCATACGTATCGCATTCATGAGGTTCCCTTCTGGAATGAATTCTCTGATGTATGTGAGATGTCAATGGTCACACACGTCAAACACGGCAAACTCTCTGTACAAAGTTAGCACAGTCTCACTTTTATGCCTTGAATAAAATACTAAGTGTCTTAACCTATCAAGATGCCTCATATTCTGAGATCTATATTCTCAGGCTGTAGCTTTGTCTGCCAGGCTGGAGCAGAAACAGATTCCCCACAACCTGAAGGATTTCACTTCTCTTCCTGGCAGGTTTATTTAAAATAAGGTATTTTCTTAAAAACCCTTCAAAAACTTCCATTAGGTCAACTAGCATGCTAATGGTTAACTACGGAGTACTTCAAGCCAGTCAAGAACTTCTGAATGTCCCGACACTAATGAGCTGTGGTAAGCCCTTCTGACCATGACCCAGTTACACTTCGCGTTGGGCAGCTGATAAATGGACGTGACGTGAATGGTTTTAATAAACAGCCCAAGCCTGGCTTCTTCAGAAAACAGCGTTTTCAAATGGCTGCTTGAAGGAGTGCATCTGCCGAAGACCCAAGGCAACCATGGTGACCACCCAATGGTTGGCATAGGACAGAAACGCGAGGCGCAGGTTGCTCTGATCTTTCAAAACACAAACAATGACTGTGTGATGGCAGCATGTAGTTGCGGCCAAAGAAAGGCCCATGTGGAACCAACCAAAGTTCACTGCCTCTCCAGAACAGTCGGCGCTTTGATTGGTGCCCAGGCTGAAGCACCTCGGTGCTCTCAGGGCTTCCTGGGGGCAAGTCTCTGCTGACGAGCGTCAGCAGGTTTGTGTGAAGCCTCCACTGTGGCTCACTTTTTGAAGAAAACCTTAAAAGCACTTCTTCCGCCTTCATTTACTATAAAAAGCCATTAGGTATACTCTTCTGGACCATCTCGTCGTTCTTAAACTGGATGGATGGAATTCTCCTGGTCACCAGTGGACTTCCTTGAAGTTTCTGCAGGCGACACTGATGGAACTGCTTAGAAGCTCCAGGTGGTCGGTCCCAGTTATGAAGAGAGGCCAAAGAATCACTGCTGCGCAGAATTTTAGTTTGGTCTGGAGCTGAGGCCACAGCTGCCCCCACCTCACTGGTTCCCCATTAAGCCAGGGCGTCTGGTGGGCTTGCGTTGTCGGTCAGCGAACTGGTGAAGGACGACAGTTTTAGTCGTTTCTTGAGGGAAAAACTCAAACTCTATGTGGGGTTCTCCCATTAGGCAGAGAGTCTTCAGGTCTGCTCTTAGTCTGTTTCTAAGTTTCTGCAGGGCTGTCCACCATCATTTGCACACTCTCACGAGCAGAGACCTTTCTCCCCGAGTCCCTGAGGACTGCCTATGATGCCCAGGATACCTGGCTCTCCCGCGTGTGTATCTGAAAACCATCTGTCACTAGCTTCTAGGCAGCCAATTGCTTCCTCCTGCACAGACGACGGAAAAGACCAGTTTCCTAGCCTCCCCTCAGTCTTCAGGGACGAGAAACAGAAAAGACTCTGTGCAGTTCAACTATGAATAAAACCAACCACATCTCAGCTTGTCGATGAACTTCTCAGAGCAACACACACATTGGGGAACTGCCAACTGATGGTATCAAATGCCTTTGCAAACATTCTGGAAAGTGTGGGGGGAAAATGCACTCTACACCTTTCCTTGTTCTGAAAAGCAACAAAAACCATGTCTTCTGCAGTGTATTATTTAGTCACAAATGACTGAGAAAGTGCCTAAATGATCATGCTGTTCATCAGCTGACTGAAGAGAATTCTGGCTAAGATCTTTTGCCCCAGAAAGATGTGAGGACATGGCCTTAGTAGAAGTTCCTATTTTTCTGAAGATGATGACGACGGAGTCATTTCTGACATTCTGTGGTTATTTATTTACTCACAGATCTGTGTTTTGGAAGAGTTTATGCAGGCAGCTACCCAGCGGCTTTCTTTCATATTCAGGATAAAAGGAGCGTCAGACCCTGGAGCTGTAGCATGCTCGGACTCCGGAGGTCCTCTCCCAAAGCTGGGCCAGGCTACCCTACTTCAGGTACTCCTGATTCACACGGACTTCACCGTAAGCGAAGAAGTCCTGGTAGAAGTCAGGAATAACAGTACCTCTTCTGTGTTCAGCACTGTGTCCAGTGCTATCGGGATACAGAGCGATCCCTTGATGATCGAAGCATCTCTTTGGGGAGGGGGCATGACGAAAACTTTCATACACGAAACGACGGAGGATTAAAAGACAGTCTACAATCAATTAAGTGCTAACTTGTGGAGAAATGCATTTTGGAGTGCGATAGTGCTTTCGGGATTTCGAGAAGGGAGAGAAGGGTTTTGAATCATTGTTGCCATTTCAGTAGAATTTATCTCAGCGATGAGGATAGAACCATCTACATTTGTTGCAATCCTTTGGAACTGTAGACTGGTGCACATACCCTCTTTCAGGAAGAGCTAGAAATCTTTGGTTTGATACTGATCAGCACAGTCCTAGATTTCTATAGCTTTGGCAGGCTACCAGTGATCGTATATAACTTATCGTATATATAACTAGTTTGAGCAGCATGTCCCAATGCAGTTTGTTTTAACGGTTCCTTGTTTTTGAGAAATAAGGTAGAGCAAGATGTTGGCCAAGTAGGGCTTGTTTGCGGCAAGCAGCTAAAACCCCAGTATCGCCTTCACGGAGCCAATCTTGATCTTTCAATTCTATGTTGTGGTTGCTGAGTCCGAGAGCGCCTTAAAGGTATCCTCGTTACTGAAAAGCTTGACATTTGACTGTATGTGTGCTTTGATCTTGTACGGAAATACCGTGTGGATTCTCCATAGGACGAGCTTTTCCCTGCAGGGGCCGTATGGAAGGATTACATGCCCAGAGATGATGCAAAGGCGGAACACTGCTGATGGAACTACAAGGATCCTGAAGTGTGATTTTTTTTCCTTTTAATCCGTTGAGGCCCTCTTTTTTTCCCCTCTGTGGGCACACATCTCTGAAGTAATTTTGGAAACAAAAGGGGGAAATGGCTTGTTGACGAATTCTCGCTTTACACACAACTTTTCAGGAATGCGCCAAAGGCATCGAGGGAGGCGGGGCTGTACTCGGAGGCTCGCTCTCTGGTGTGGATCCTGTGATGCAGAGTGAGGGTCGAGCTCCGGGTGAAAGCCTTGCCGCACTTAGTGCACTTATAGGGCTTTTCTCGGGTGTGAATCCTCCGATGCAAAATAAGGTATGAGTTTCGGTTGAAAGCTTTTCCGCATTCACTACATTCATAGGGTTTCTCCCCCGTGTGGATCCTCTGATGTTTAGTAAGGTCTGAGCTCTGGCTGAAGGCCTTCCCACACTCGTTACATTCATAGGGTTTCTCTCCAGAGTGGATCCGCTGATGGAGAATGAGATTCGAACTGTGACTGAAGGCTTTGCCACACTCGTTACATTCATGAGGTTTCTCTCCTGTGTGGATTCTCTGATGCAGGACCAGGTTTGAGTTAAGACTGAAGGCTTTCCCACACTCACTACATTCATAGGGCTTCTCTCCAGTGTGGATTATTTTATGGCGAATAAGGCTTGAACTCCTCGTGAAGCATTTCCCACATTCATCACATCTGTGGGACTTTGCTCCCGTTGGAGCTTCTTCAGGGGCGTTAAAGTTTGAACTCAGACTGAAGCTTCTTCCCAAACCTTTACCCTTCTCCCTTGGACCTCTCTCTCCCGCGGTGGGTTTTTTTTCCTTGACTGTAGCTGGCCCCGAATCTCTTTTTTCTCTTCCAGTTTTTTCCTCAGGGTTTCTCTGCTGCCTTTCTACTGTTCTGCCCTGCTGTTCACGTTTTTCTCCAAAATCTTTCTGGAATCTTCCTGTTGTCTCCCCCCGTGACGCTGAGTCTTCTGCGATTTCAGCCTTTGAGGTTGACTCCTCATTCTCATTCCTGTTTTCACAACCTGACACAATAGAAAATACAAATGGCACCATTTTCTTTTGAATATGTGGGTTAATCAACTGACACTGTTCTCCTGGAAGCTTCTACATGCCTGCAAAATGACCTCACAGTATTAATCGGGGATAAAATAGAAGAAAAGCAGGGGGAAAGAATCGGGACAACATGGAGTAGAGTTGGGGAAGGAGAGGGCGGGCTAAGTGGGAGGAGAGCAGAGGGAGCGCAGGGAGAGGATGGGAGCGGCGCACATGGGGGTGGGGGAGTGAAGAGCAGGGGGAGCAGAACGAGTTAGGGAAGGAAGGGAGGAGGAAAGAAGGAACGTAAGAGGTCACAATTCACAGTTCTAGGATTTGGTCACCCAATTATTAATATGAAGGAATATATGTTAAAAAAAATCATGTTCCGTTTCTAATATTAAGTATGAGTTTGAACAAAGAGAATGGACAGGCCCTCCTAGAAATGGTAAGGGGTACCAGCCCACAAAAGAAGGCATATACATGGTTAATAAAAGAAAAGTGAATACTCCAATTCTGGGAGATTTTTAACAAGGCCACGGTTAGTGGACAACACAGGAGCTCTCGACTTGGCAGGTCACTTGGATCTTCAGACACAGGAGTCTCTCTCCTCCAGCGAGAGCAGCAGAGCTGACAGTGCTCAATTATCAGAGTGGCGAGTGAGGAAGTTGATTGGGGCATTAGTAAACGTGACTAAAACCTTCACTGACAGACCCCTGAGAGTACCTGAGAACAGAAAAGAAACTGAGAACAATGCTGGATATGGCCCCTGAAGGAGATGATGTAAAAAACCAAAATCTCACAAACGCGAAATTGATCCTGTCTTTTGGCAACCAGCACATTAAAACATTGGAATACATCTTTATTGTAGTCTGCTAGATTCTGTGTGTCATTATTTTTAAATTGAGAGTGAAAACTGTTCAATGAACATGCACGTTTTATAGTTGTCTAGATTTATCTAGGAAAAAACCCAAGCTATCGCAACTCTTCTTTATTTAGTTGGCTTTCAGAGCCCTTTCCAAGTGGGTCTGCACTATCCCAAAGAGGCCCCCGGATGAAACCATGGAAAGCTAAATAGTATCCAAGCCCTGACTTTAGTGATGAAATCGCCGTAGATACCAAACCAACCGTAAGAAGAGGAAATCGGTCCACTTCTTTTGAATTCCAAGCCAAGGTCCTTGCTTATTGGGATAATTCCCAGACTGCCTCCAACTACTGTTTGCTTTTTGAAGTTATCATGGGGTAGATAATACCCAGCTAAGAAACACAGATCAGTTCTTGGGCTTAGTTTTCAGAATCTGGTCCAAAGAGCAAGTACCAAGAAACTACCACCTGGTTAGGTCTATGGTTCAAAACAAAACCTGAGGCTTCTTTAGTAACACTGTGTCTTCAGTCCCCTTCACTCACCCTCCCTCTGTCCTTGCAGGCAGAAGTCTCTCTGTGGATGTCCCACGACACACCTTATTAGAGAGCTGCTTTGCAGTACTGTCTTCCAGGGAGTGAGGGAAGGGGACAAATAGGAATGTTTGTCAACTGGGTCAGCTTGTCTTATCTGGTTGATACCTCTGAGAACTTGTTTTTGTTCTTACTACGTGTCCGGGAGCAGAACTGTCTGTACAAGATCACCGTTAGGTTTGGAAATGGGGAGTCCTGATCGTAAGGGAGGTCACAGGCACAAGTCATGAGTAATTACACAAAGCTGTTGTGCAGCAGCGCTCACTGGATGGAACAAGAAAGCAAGCCCATGGAAGGATGCCTGTTAAGTCCAGGAATGTGGTCCTAGGTTAGGATTAGACTGATGATGATTAGGTCTCACTTGGACCTCTATAATAGGAAATAGAGATTCTATCCCCTCGACAGAGGCACCTACATTACAACCGATGGGGACTGGAGACAAATCCTAGCTATCAGAGTGGTCGCAGAGGTGAGAACTCAGAACGTAAGAGTATTTCTGATTTCAAACAGCAAAAACTACCTAAAAGTAAAAAAATCCACTTGGAATCAGGGAATCACGGTATCAGGCTTTGGGGTTTAAATGAACACAAACGTGCTCCTTCTCTATCTGGCCTGAAGAAAAGGGGCTCAGCAGTCTCTCAATCCTTGTCAACTCTCAACTGAACACGTCAGAGATCCCACAACTAACAAAAAAAAGACACAAAACAATCTTAGACAATGATCCTGCATCAGTCTTACCCTGGGAAAACACGTTCCCATAATTCTCCTGCCTGTTGTCCCTATTGAGATTCCTCCGAGCCAGGTTCTGACATCCCCATTCCTCCAGGATGAGGGACACGGCCATGTCCTCGATCTTCACCATTGCCTGAAATAATATGAGATCCCCACACTCAGTTCTCCCACAGCTCAGGGACAATCCCATCACCCAAACTTGGAGTCAGGGACAGAGTTGACTGCAAGCCTGCAGGATGCTGGGAAAGAAAAGGGGATCATGCCAGGCTCTGGTGGATGGGAGGGTGGGAGTGGGGCTAGTCTGTGGGAAGGGGCATCAAGATTGTGTCCGGGCTGGAGAGAGCTAAAAAAGCTCCAGGAAGAGAGGCAGACATGAGGGTCTCAGGAAGGCAGAGGGGCCCACTGCTCACCTGGGAATCTGCCGTGAATAGTGCAGATGCCATCGCCTGGTCTCTGGGACTCCCCTCGTGATGAGGGGCAGGAACATGGGTGGCAGGGAGAGCTGAGGGAGGAGAAAGGAGCTGTGAGTAAAACCAGCTCTGCTCTGGGCCTCCCCTCCAAGAAGGGCCCGGGGCACTCTCTTTCCTGCCCAGGCATGTTTGATGTTCAGTGTTCAACTACAGAGACTCGAACGAAGAAAAAATATGACCTCTGCTTTTCCAAGTCACAAAAGGATCCTTAAAATCACCTGGTCCAATCCCTTTAGTTTAAAGAGGGGGAAAACAAACACCGAGAAAGTAAATGACTTGCCTAATGTCACACGGCTAAGAATGGTAGAGCCAGAATTACAGCCTGGATTCCTACTCTTCCTTACCTACAGAAGTGAGTAACTTCCAGTTCATGATTCAAGTTGGGCTCACAATTTAATTTTCTCCAGTCCAAGGAACAGTACCAGAGCATCATAATCTCATTCAGTTGCAGAAAATATGACACGAGCATTAACAATCTTTAGTAGTATTATCTTGAAACACAGGGCACAAAGGTGGTCTCTTCTGGCCATTTTTGGTCCTCCTACTTTTCTCCCTCACTTAGCCACAGTTTTTTGATTAAACGTATGCATGGTTCAAATGTCGATGAGACACCAGTACGCAGAAGCGTGGGTCGACACTGATCTAACACAAGACAGTCTATCAGACGATCACACAAACTGCAGTGTGTAACAACAACTATACAAATTTTTAAACCACAAAATTAAAATCTTCCCTTGCCAAGTAGTATTAGATTTGCTAACGTTACTGGACAGAGAATCTTACTGAGCTGCAAAGACATAAGAGAAATGAATTGGAAACGGAATTACTAAACCTTGTAACTATTTCAGACCGTATAGTTATAAAACAAGCTAAAGCAAAATGTGCAGAAAGACCGAGTATTTAGCATCTTAACCTTCCGAGAATTAGGAAAGACTCTGGAAGAGGAGTAGTGCTGGGAGGGAATTAAGGATAACTGCATATGGCTGAATTACCTGGAGAACTATTTACTAAGTATCAACTGTATGTGCCAGGGGCTCTAAACCTGCTATTCTGGTGCCAGGGAGTGCTAATCGAGCACTGAAAACTACAAATATTCTCTTCCATGTTGATTTCCCCCGTGGAGTGTGGAGAGACCTCGCAAGCCCTGTACACAGGACATGACTGGGACTGGATGGTCAGTGGTGGATCAGTCAGCACAACGCACTGATTTTACTGAATTTACAGATTTCTCCAGAATGCACAGAAGATAATGTTTTCTGAAGCTCTAATATTAAATGTCAGCACAAATGAACACACTGGTTAAGGAACGTGCCTTTAGCAATGCTTCTTGAACAATTGGACTTTTAATATGGTCTTGTTTTTACTGATATCCTATGTACCTAATTGAATAAACACATTGTTAATATTTCCCTCAAAGGAAAAAAAAATTTAAACTGATTTTTATGTATGACCCTGAAATGACATTTCCCCTCCTATTCCTCAAACAAAAACAAAATATTTCCTTCCATCCTTTTCCCACTGTTTGAAATTTCTGAAAGCTAGAAAAAGATGTTATATGACAATTTTTATACATTTTAAATTAAATGAATTTAAAAAATGATCCTTTTCAAGGTAATTTATGACATTAACCAGAGTGTTTCAAAACCCAGGCTGGTAAATATATTACCTCTTCCAGCAATTTCCTGTTAAAAAAAAAAAAAAAAATCTGCTGGACATTCAAAATGCTAACAGTTCCAAGAATAATGTAATGTCCATCCAAGTTCATGATGTACATTTCGTTGACCTTCTCAGTAACATTAACTCCTGAGGTTGGGTCTGTGGGTTAGATTTCCCCCAATATTTAGTAATAATGACAATAACGTGTAATGATAAAAAGACAAGCATGCTTTTTTAAAAAATTACAGGCCCTCAGCAACATAGAGAGGGCACCCCCATCCCAAACAGTTTGCTTTCCCCCCACATGAAACCCTGCTTCTTACCGCGTGACTGTAAGAGGCGAGGTTTCCGAGATGAATGCTTGAAATGGGACTGGGTGGCCTCATGATGAAGGTCAAAGCTCGAGGACTCCTGCACTGGATCCAAAGGCACCATCCCCCTTGCGAGCATTTCAGGTCCGTGAACTTGACCTGGGACCTGAGGACAAACAGGGTGGGCTTGTGGGTAAATCACTTTTTAAATGGGAATTTAAACAAACAAACAGATGGTAAGCAGACCAGTGGAGGCAGGAGAAGGAGGCCAGCACACCTTTCAGTACCCAAGCAGAGCAGAAAGAGTAACAAGGACAACTACGGCCAGCTTTA